CTCTGTCAGAATGCCTGCTCTGTCCCTGAGCAGTGAGAAGGACAAGAGAGGACAGATCAGACTTACTATATCTGGCATGCTTGATGAGTGTGAGCCAATGAGGTGTGAGTGTGTGTGTGTGTGTGTGTTTGTGTCTGTGTTTGTGTGTGCACGTGCACGTGCACGAAACTGCCCTTGGTCTTAAAGTTGGCCTTCCTGAAGCTGTCCTGAGCAGTGTGGCAGGTTTCCACCAACTCTTCTGAGACTGTGTTCTGGAGCCAGGGGTATAGGGGAACACAGCGTGTTTGACGGTGGGGTGTCAGCGTTCACACCAATTGTCATTGTTTCCCACCCCAGTGTGTGCACAGACAAGACAAGAGGTCCTTGTGAGATTATTTGATTTTATTGAAGCTCAGTGTTGGCATCAGTGCCCTATACAGAATTGACTTGGTGCGTGTGAGCCCCTGGCAGGAAGGTGTGTGAGCTCAGCTGCTGGAGCCCTGCCTGACCTTTGTCAGGGGACCTGATTCAGGGAGTGGGCCTGAGGCAGCGCTGTGCTGCCCACTGTGGTTGTCAAAGACAGGGGGAGGGGTCTGGCTGAAGCAGCAGGGGTGTCACCTCAGGGAGACCACCTGGTGAGATGTGGGGAACTCAGCAGCAGGGGTTGTGGCAGGATGAGGTGCCACAGCAGGCTGGGCGGGGACATGCAGGGCGGCAGAGCAGGGACATGGAGGAGGAGGCAGGGGCACAGCAGGCGGGCTTGCACATGGGTTGGCTGATGAGGGACATGCAGGAGGAAGGTTTGCAGCAGGAGGGGCCACAGGGAGAGGGCTGGCAGCATGAGGAGGATGAGCAGGGGCTGGCCCCACAGCAGATGGGCACACAACAGGCGGGCTTGCAGCAGACGGGCATACAGCAGACAGATGTGCAGCAGACAGGCTTACAGCATACAGGTGTGCAGCACACTGGTGTGCAGCAGACAGGCTTACAGCAGACAGGTGTGCAGCACACAGGCTGGCAGCAGGAGGGCCCACAGGAGGCAGTGCAGCCTGATTGGCAGGCGCTGGACCCGCAGCTCACGGGGCTGCAGATGAGGGTCAGGCAGGAGGCTGGAGCACAGCAGGTGGACTGACAGGTGGGGGCACAGCAGGTGGACTGGCAGCAGCTGGGGACACAGCAGGAGGACTGGCAGCAGGAGGGCTCACAGCAGCTCTCAGGACAGTTGTCCACCTCACAGTAGGACTCAGTGCAAGCACTGGGCAGGCAGACCCGGCTGCCATAGCTTCTGTTGCTGGAGCAGATGGACATGGTGGACGCAGCTGGAGCACAGGTGCTGGAGCAGCAGGGTCAGCCCTGGTGGGTGGGGGGAGAGGATGAGGGAGTGAAGTGTGTGGTGTGAGGAGCTCTGGGCTGTGGGCTTTTATATGCCTCTCTGGCTTGTGTTGATCCTCAGGAGACTCAGCAAGCCTTCCCTTTCCTTGTTGTTGTTTAGTGTCTGGAGTTGGAGAACCTCATTCATGCGGTTTCTTTTCTACAATTACTTTTTCAATCAGGAAACTGGTGAGCATGTCTCAGAACCTTGTTCTCCCCGTCTGTTTTCTGTTTGGCCCCAGAAAAGTTATGAGAAAATATTTGTTCCAGGCAAGGTTTGGCTGTTCTTTAGAGGGGAACATGGTTCCAAAATGGTGTATTCTCGTTCTATCTGTCCTGTCTGGAGTGCTTACATTCTACACTTCCAGTTTTTTTTAACAAATAAAAAGTACGTAGTGTATGGAATACAACTTGTTCTGAACATGTGTTCGTAGAATAGAAAGCCAATTGCCTCTCCCCTTCAGATCAATTCTGCTTCTTTCAGGAGCATGTGCGGAGACTCCAAACCCAGGGCGTTAACCCTTGTTTCTCTTGTGTTTTTATCCATTGTTCTTCTAGCTAGGAAAACGGTTTCCACTTGTAATGATCCATTCTGCTGAAGAATGACTGATGCTCACAACTTGTCATTTCTTTGTGGTTTGCCTGTCTCTCTCTTTGGCGACCTTCTTGATTTTCATCTATTCATGTTCTGAAATGTCATAAGAAGTTCTTCAAGGACAGTGTCATATTTTCCTTCCTGTGTTTGAAACACAATGAGTCCTTCGATGTGAAAGGTTATCTCAGGGAAATGGAGAGTGGATCTCCATCGGTGACAGTAGTGACATCATCTCCTGTCAACTTGAGTGAGGGGGTGGTGTCTAGCCTTCATTCAGTTCATTGCCAGTGATGCCTCTGGGTGGGCATGGCCTTCTCTTGCGGATTCTGGGAACTCCTGTCTTCCTCCCTGGATCCGGGACACACACTCTCCCTGTAAGACATTCCTGCTACCAAGCCCCGGGGAACTTCGGTGATAGAATCAGTGCCCTGGAGCTGGAGGAGCCACTGGGAGGTCCACGCCAGCACTGAGATGCTTCACCCCGACACTGGATCCACAAGGCTTTCCACCCACTGGCCTGTGATATTCCTGCATTTGACCTTATTGCATGTGCTGCGAGAGATTGAAGAGGAATTTAGAGACTGGCACTGCACATATGGGGTAATAGTGAATGTATGGATTGATCAGTATCATGCTTCTAGGCCAGGGTGTTTTCCTGATATACAAGTACGCTTTGATATAAAGATCTCTCTTCCACACATGTGATTCTCCTTGGATTTGTTGCTCTGTTCTACCCGCACTAAGACACCCTCTGCACAAGGATAAAATAGCACTTGTACCTCACCCCATGCTGAAATATTTTTTATGGAGAATTGGATCTCCATCTCCATCCACGTTTCATGTTGCCGTTTGTAGAGGATGGTGGCCCTTTCCCATTTTAAGTGCGATAGTTTTCACTTAAAAAGCCACAAAGTTGGCAGTCCAAGAGGACTCCATCCGTAAGTTCCCCCTTTTGACATTACAAACCCTGCTTTGTAGCACACACCACAATTGGTGTCCATGGATATTTGATGGAGGCGGGCACTTTTCATCCTTTGTGTGCAAACGTAGGTGCATGCTTTTGTCAGTCTGGGTACATTAGAGAAACAAACCCATAGAAACTCATGTAAAAGAGAGAGTTTGATATAAAGGTTAAGTACACATCAAGAAAACATCCCAACCCAGTGCTGCCCAAGCCCACAAGTCCCACATTAACTTATATGTCCGACACCAATCCACAATGTCCTCCTCCATCTCACAAAACACACACAATGTTGCCAAGTGCAGGAGGAAAGCCGAGTTGGTGAATGTGTAAGCATCTCAGTGTTGGCAGGGTGTCCACAAGACTGCTCCTGCACCCAGGGATGCATCGGGGTAGGTCCACGTGGCTTCTCCTCAGGGATGTCTTGCAGGAGGTGAGCCTTGCCAGCTGCAGCAGGGAACTGGCTAAGGTAGCGGCACCCTGGTCTGACCATCAGAAAGCAAGAGTCATGAGAACTAGGAAGGCGAGGCTCACTGCGCCATTTTTTCCGCCACCCTTCAATTGACCTGTATGCTTTTGTAGGCCAGGTTGGCACAATAAGCGAACTATCTCAATGTTTGTATTTATTCGATAGTTTATTATGTAATTTCTTTACTAACTGGCATTCAGTGCTAAATTTTATATGGTAATATCTCTTAATCATAAATGTAGTATCATATTAAGTTTACTGACTTTGAAAATGCTTTTTTGTTTATTCATAAATGAATTTGTTGTACAGTTTCTCATCATCATTATTTTATAGGTCTCCAGTAATGTGTATCATTAAATTTTTTAAATGAAAACAAACATTATATAGAAAAGGCTTTTAAGGACTCCCGGGAAGGTGATGCCCATGTACAGTCAACTGCTTTCTGCTCCTTTTGTGAGAACAGAAATTGGAGAGGGATTCAAGAAGATAAAGAAGCAAAGAAATCCACACAGAAAACAGTCCAAGGACTGTGGCAAGAGATTTTCTCAATGTCTCAAGGAGGAAAACTTTAGTCATTCAGGAAGCCGAAAGTACCCCAGCCAGGAAAGTTCCCAAATGGAGAATTTCTGGACATACAGTTGTCAAGATGTCTAACATCAACTCCAAGGAAATAATGCTCTGAATAATCAGAGGAAAAAGATGAATTACATGAGAAGAATCAGCAATGAGCAGAACCTCAGATTTCTCAGCAGAACCCATGCAGGCAAGGAGACAATTTACGGATCTATACAGAGGACTAGTGGAAAAAACGGTCAACCTAGCATCCTTTATCTAGCAAAATTATCAATCAAAAAGGATGGAGAAATCAAAGTATTCCAAGACAAGAGGAAAACACATTAACAATGATCAAGGGAGTTAGTATCCACTTAAAAAGGTAGATACATGGCAGTTACAAGGACACCCTCTGTCACTTCCACCTTTTGTATTAGCAAAGCCCTCTGCAGCACGCACAATCATGAGTGTCTATTGATAGTCCATGGGCATTTGAAAAGACCAGGGTGCACTTTTCAGGATTTTGTTGCTGTTGTCATCATATTTGGCTATTGTAAATAATGCTACTGTGAGCATTCACGTACAAGTTTTGGTATGCATGTATGTGTTTAATTTCCTTGGAGTAAAACTCTTAGGTCATATGCATCTGTGTTTCTATATGTGAGGGGCTGTATTTCAGAGTGGTTGTGCCTGCATTGTTTTATTTTTTGTGGAGCAGAGGATACATCTAATGAGGAATATCAGAAAAGGGTGCAGAGGTGAGATGCCCTCAGGGGAGGACTTCCAGGAGATGAGCAGGGCTGGTGTTCCCTGTCCTGCCTTGGATGATGCAGAGGTGACAATGATGGAAGTAGAAGGGGTCAGAGGATGTCTTGGC